GTATCAATCCGACAGCCGGGCTTTGCGGATCACGGGCTTTGCAGTGCAACTTCGGTGGCAGGGATCAATTCTGAAAGCGCTGCTATAGCCACCTTAGTAGATTGCAGCATCGGTTCACTCTTACATTCTTGCTGTGCCCGCTTCATGTCGAAACGCAACCGGATAGGACTTGAATTGGGCTCGGCTAGGAAGGCCACACAGCACTAGTACTTTGCTTTTCTTTTGAAACACGGTGCAGAATCTGAATGGAGTGAACCGTCTCAGCCTTACAACGACTCGGACTACTAAGACTCGCTTTGATGGTCTTTCCAAACGTATAAAAGCAGAGCCAGAGATGACCTCTACATCTTCAATTCGAACGCGATCAAGCGTATCAGTCTCTCAAGAAGTCGACCCCAACACTTTAGTGTCTGCTCCAACCATGCTTTTCACCTCAGTTGTCGCTGTGGCTTTGATGCCCTTCATGGTTCAAGCTGCTGCGATTGGCAAGCGCGAAGAAGCGCTCATCTATCTTGAGACATTCGAGGACTGTGGTGAGTGTGAACAAGCAGAACCTGTCGAATACCGTTGACCCTCCTCGGCAGACTGCATTAACTTGAAGGACTTTGTCCAAGCGGATAATCATGGTACCATCTCGCAGTCGTTCTCCGGCTCCAGGTTTGCACTCTCTCGTAGTATATCGTCACGACAGGCGGTCTCATTCGCACAAGGGCGTCGTTCAAGGTGATCGTGAACCGGGGCTGTGAGTCGTTTCCTTCAAACAAGTTGACTGCTCGCTTAATCCATGGGCAGGCGGTGTGACGGTCTATACCACCAACGGCGATTCCATGAACTTCCCGTCATGGGACCTGCAGACTGGTACTTGCTTCAGTCCATATAACGAAAACCGGGTTGCCTACGTGGTGTTCGGTATGTGCTTGCTATTAGCATCCAGGGATTATAGGCTGACGATGCATCGATAGACTGCAACTAAAGTGCGCTAGCAATTATTTGATCGTATGTCCCCGTTTCCTGACTTGCGTATCAGACACCGAAGTGAGGGGTGACCAAGCAGCGTCAACTCCCATCGCTGCGCTCTACTAGTCGTCCGAGATATTCTCGCGCTGCTCTATTTTCAGCCTGTTGCTCATTTGCATATCCCAACAACTTTCTAGTAGCATACTTAATATTCCGATGCCTAATCCACTGCAAGTTGCCGTTTCACGTGCCGATAACTTCTCCACAAACCAGAAAAAGCGATAGTGGCAAAGAACAGACTACCCTGGTATGGGATTCATATTGTGGGCTTCTTAAAAGGCCGAAGATATACAGTACCCCGCAAAAATAAGGACAATTGCTTTTTTGCATGCCCTTGATTGGTCTCATCATATGGTGGATGTTTGCGGACAGCCACGGTGTTAGGGGTCCCAGCTGTCCATGAACACCCACCAGACGTGGCCTGTGCTTCTGGCTGTTCATCAACTATCAACAGGATAACTCAGACTGGTTGAGTCTTGCAGAATTTGCATACAACAACTGGGTCTCAGCCTCAACTCGAGTCTCCCCATTCATGGCCAATATGGGATGGAACCCTCAAATGGGTATCAAACCAAATCATGAAACTCAGGTTATGGGAGTGGACAATTTTGTGACCAAGATGGCACAACTTCAGACAGAATACCAGGCAGCCCTGAGCCAGGCAGCAGATGATACATGAGCACAAGCATTGGGTGCTGACATTGAGTCAGAATATGTCAGGGCACCAGCTCATTGCTTGGTCAAGAGACATGATTAAGCCTTTATGATATGGAAGTAGCTGGTATACCTTGGCATGTGCTGGAACCTGCTGGAAGGATTGGATGGTCAGGTGACCTGCTGTGCATGGCTGTGCATGACCTCATATGACCTCATCCTTGGTCATATGACCTGATCACCTGACTAGGCTGAGTAAGCAAGATGTTCTAGCAGGTTCCACCACAGAGGTATAAATATAAGGCCTACTCTGCCTGGGGACTGTCTCTTCAGACTTGGTCTCTTAGGATCATCCACAGGTACCTATACTGTAGATAGGTCTTAGTCATCAGGTCTACTCCACTTCCTTGTTGCCTGCTTAGACTCTTGGCACTCATAGGTGAGCAGACTTAGTCAGCCTGTGTTGCCCTAACAGAATGGTGAAGCGACGTACAGGACAATTGTGGAAGGGTTTGGGTTAAATGTGAGGGGACAGAATAAGGGTGAAATGAAATGAGGGGGAAAGCAACTGATGGATTTTAAGGTGAGCAGCTGCAGGAAGGAGGGGGACAGCA